TATCAGACAATAGTTTAGTGTAGATATCATGACATCAATTATAACGGGAATCAATTGCAAACCAACCGAACACAGGCCGCCAATCGGGTAAATCACCGGTTTTTGTGTGGCCACAGTTGGGGTAGCGGTCAATGTTGGCCAATGAATAGCATATCGTTATATACATTGAATAATAAAGGTCTCAGAAGAGGAAGGGTTTTGAATTATCTCTATTAGTATTTGAGCATGGTAAATTGAACTATGGTTGTAATCATTTACCGTCCATCGTATGGTCCATCGGTCAATACAAAAACGGACCCTTCCATAGGAATACATTAAAACGAGCGCATACTTTGAAAAATGCCTGTTCTTAAGCTATTCATGCGATCTTGATGAAACTTGGATTCTGGTGCCTGGGGATGTCAACTTACATTATAAAACTAATTTCATAATTCTATATACACGGCTTAATGTGTTTTTTAGTGATAAGTAAGTAGTGGTTATCGACAGCCTCGCGGATGTCTTGGATTACCACATAATTGTTATCCTATAATAAACATTCATTACATTAATCGTTATATTCATGAATGGACAGTGAAATTGAGACTTCATATAAAAGTGTGGTTTCATTGGATGAATGCTTGTTAGCGATGGCACAGAAAGGGCAGCCCCTCTGCACCACACCATCCGAGGCACTGTCCGAACCCATGTCTCCCACACCAGACATCACTTGCATTGATTGCACTGCAGATCACGTGATAGACAACACTTCCACAAACTTCTTGAGCTGTGAATCATTCATCGATCACTCCTTCGCAATATAAAGTACGCTATAAAGGGGTCGTCGTGTATGACCTGTCCGTACGCTTAGCACTGAAGGGGACGTCAATCGGTGTGACTATAGTGTGACGTATGGTATGAATGAGTGATTAAAGCATTTTTGGAAAGTTCTAGAGTTTGTGTAAATTTGATTGAAAGTAGGGTGAAGGTCATTTAAGTAAGTTATATAAATTACCTTTAATTATTGTAATTTTAGGGTAAATTTACGTAATTTATATTTTAGGGAATTTATGTAATTGATAAATGGGGGTATTATAAGTGCCTACTAGTGATCGAAAAATTACAATTTATGAGTGCCGGTGCCGTTCCAGTGCCGGTGCCGTTCCAGTGCCGGTAGTGCCGGTAGTGCCGGTGCTGATAGAGCATGTGCAGTACTGTGATTTCTCACATTCAAATATGTGCAACGCAAGCTTCATGTATTATGTGTTTTTTGAACAAGAACATGTGATTTAATATTAATTTGTTTGATTTAATTATATAATGAGCTATTTAAAAAATAAGCATCTAAACTGCTGCCACCAGGATCGGTCCCGGTTCAGTGCCGGTATACTTCATACTGGTGCCGGTGCCGTGCCGTCCCCTATAATTTCAATCACTAGTGCCACATTTTTCAAAATTGTGAGACATTTTTTGCTATCGCCATCTATTGAGTGAGCTTTTGTGGGTAAATTTATTAGGTAATTATTACCGGTAAATTTACCTGTAGGTAATTTATGTCAAAAAGGTAATTTTAATTTACACTAATAGAAAGAGGCGTACATTGAAAGCATCGGTGATTTGAAGTGACATAAAATTGAATTGAATTAGTGCTGAATTAGTGTTGTATTGGTATTACTGTACTCTCATTACTGCCATTAATATCTTGAGTGATGGCAAAAGTAGCGGCGATTGGTATAGATTTGGGAACCACTTACTCGTGCGTAGGAGTGTTCCAGCATGGTAAGGTGGAGATAATCGCGAACGACCAAGGTAATCGCACCACACCTTCCTATGTGGCCTTCACTGACACCGAGCGCCTGATTGGAGACGCGGCTAAGAATCAGGTGGCGATGAATCCGTCGAACACTGTGTTCGACGCCAAGCGACTGATTGGCCGCCGGTTTGACGACACGACCGTTCAGTCAGATATGAAGCACTGGCCCTTCGATGTGGTCTCAGACGGCGGCAAACCTAAGATCAGAGTCGACTACAAGGGAGAGTCGAAGCAGTTCTTCCCCGAAGAGATCTCATCCATGGTTTTGGTGAAGATGAAGGAGATAGCGGAGGCATATCTGGGCCAAGCCGTGACCAACGCTGTGGTGACGGTTCCCGCGTATTTCAACGACAGCCAAAGACAGGCGACTAAAGACGCGGGAACTATAAGTGGTCTGAATGTGTTGCGGATCATCAATGAGCCGACGGCTGCGGCCATCGCTTACGGTCTCGACAAGAAAGGACAGGGAGAGAGGAATGTGTTGATCTTCNCAAATTTACACAAACTCTAGAACTTTCCAAAAATGCTTTAATCACTCATTCATACCATACGTCACACTATAGTCACACCGATTGACGTCCCCTTCAGTGCTAAGCGTACGGACAGGTCATACACGACGACCCCTTTATAGCGTACTTTATATTGCGAAGGAGTGATCGATGAATGATTCACAGCTCAAGAAGTTTGTGGAAGTGTTGTCTATCACGTGATCTGCAGTGCAATCAATGCAAGTGATGTCTGGTGTGGGAGACATGGGTTCGGACAGTGCCTCGGATGGTGTGGTGCAGAGGGGCTGCCCTTTCTGTGCCATCGCTAACAAGCATTCATCCAATGAAACCACACTTTTATATGAAGTCTCAATTTCACTGTCCATTCATGAATATAACGATTAATGTAATGAATGTTTATTATAGGATAACAATTATGTGGTAATCCAAGACATCCGCGAGGCTGTCGATAACCACTACTTACTTATCACTAAAAAACACATTAAGCCGTGTATATAGAATTATGAAATTAGTTTTATAATGTAAGTTGACATCCCCAGGCACCAGAATCCAAGTTTCATCAAGATCGCATGAATAGCTTAAGAACAGGCATTTTTCAAAGTATGCGCTCGTTTTAATGTATTCCTATGGAAGGGTCCGTTTTTGTATTGACCGATGGACCATACGATGGACGGTAAATGATTACAACCATAGTTAAATTGACCATGCTCAAATACTAATAGAGATAATTCAAAACCCTTCCTCTTCTGAGACCTTTATTATTCAATGTATATAACGATATGCTATTCATTGGCCAACATTGACCGCTACCCCAACTGTGGCCACACAAAAACCGGTGATTTGCCCGATTGGCGGCCTGTGTTCGGTTGGTTTGCAATTGATTCCCGTTATAATTGATGTCATGATATCTACACTAAACTATTGTCTGATAACTAATAGTGAATCCCAATAACCAAATAATCACTTCAAACACATCTTTAATGGAAATATTTTCACTTTTAAAATGAGATAATTTTTAGTCGAATATTTTTATGTAAATTTTTAAAAATATTTCCGACTGACAAACTTTGAAAAAATCCTGTTCAAAAGCTATTCATGCGATCTTGATGAAACTTGGATTCTGGTGCCTAGGGATGTCAACTTAAATTATGAAACTAATTTCATAATTCTATATACACGCTTAATAGTGAAGGAACTAGGTCCTAGTTACTAGGATATCATTAAATCCAATATTTAAAAGCATTTATAAATATGTATTAACACTGTTTTAATGCCAATGTTTTGAATTAATTAATATCAGTTAATAATCAACGAGACGTCAAAATATTAATAAATTCATACAAAAGTAAAGCTATTAAATAAAACATAAGGTTTTTTGGTATTATTCCTAAAAAAATATTTTATTTCGTTTCATTTATTACTACTTTTATTTTCAGATTTCATCTCGATATTAGTCACCCGACGATTGCATTCATGTAATAACATTATTATTATTGTTAATGAATTATTAATACTAAATACAGAAACTTGTAATAAATCAATCTGTTATACAAACCTTTAAAGGTATTGAATAACAATGCAATTCAAATACAATAGACAAGAATTAGTTGTCATTACTATTGTTTGTCTCAAAAGGAAGAGTATTTATTGCTTTTAACATATTTTAAACGATGTTTTATTTGATAGCACTTCTAGTGGTGACTGCAGTGATGGCTAACCAAACGACCAATTGGTCTGATATTTGCAATCAAATACAAAGTGGAAATTATAAAACGGTTCGTCTGACGGACTCAAGAATGCAGTTATTCTGCGGACAACAGTCCTATACGTTCACTATTGGAGACATAAGAAGCGCACAAATCACGCAAATCTCAAACTTATATCCTTTCGATTTGAGTCCAATTGACGAGTGCTTCGAAAACAACGGAAAAGTTTATTATATTCGCAATAATGAACTCATTCAGTACAACGGTCTCGATGTTAACTCTTATCATTGGAACCAAAACCAGCCGTCCATTCCTTGTCTTATCATTAAGAAAAATGGACAAACAATTGGATTCTTTGTTCCAAACAATTCATGCTCTTATTCCTCGGGTCAGTCCATGTCTACCACTAATGACATACAAGTGATCGCTTACGGGAGCGCTTCCTCTGTCTCGATGTCCAGT